CAGAGCTTCCCCAATACAAAGCCCAGCAGCACTGCTGAGTTTGTTAGCTGGAAGGTCTTAAAATATTCAGCAAAGACATGGCAGGGGGCTCTATGACAGTATTGCACCTGCTTGCTTGGCAGCTGCCTCTACCTCAGTCTGGGGTTAAGGTTATGACCGATTTCACCTTTGACCTATTAATAAGCCCTGCCACTGACCGGGTCAGACCACAGGCCCCTCTTTGCCCAAGCTCCCGTGTCGCACCAGCAGCAGCTGCACCGCTGGGCCGCTGCCACAGGCGTGTATCCGGTGTGTTTTACAGACACCGCCGACACCTCCCCCTTCCGCCGACAGGGCGAGACCCCAGCGCGAGACCCCAGCACGCGCCCTCCTCTCCACCTCCTCCCTCCAGAGTCTCCCGCCGAGGTGCCGGCTGCACTTCTCGTGCTAGAGGACAGGCTGGCGATTCAGGCTGACCTTGACAGGTTCACAAGACGGGCGGATCAAAGCCCAATGACATTCAACACGGAGAAATGCCAGACGACTTGGTGGCAGCTTGTAAGTACATCAGGGAGCGCACCAGGAACTGGGAGGACGTCCGTTCACCGGCCGCGTGGGCGGGGGGCTGGACCAATGATCTCGCGAGGTCCTTCCAGCCCCAGTGTCTATGGAGTCTACAGGGTCTGAGGTCTGTGGGATCTATAGGGTCTAAACACCACTCGGCTGCGGCCGCCACCCCCCGGCTCGGGCTGGGCTGCCCACCGAGCGGCGGCGGCCGAGGCTAACAGGGCTGAGCCCCCGACGCGCCATCTCACCTCAGCCACCGACGCCCGCTCGCCCCGGAAGCCACCTCTTCACTTCCGGAAACCACCGCTTCACTTCCGGGTCAGGGAGCGCAGCCTGGGCACCAATGAGAAAGCGAGGCCCGCGGGTCACGTGCTGCGTGGGGCGGGGCTGCTCCCCTCCCCGCCGCCGCCATGACTGGTGCGGGACTTCCGGGGTGGCTCCCGGCCCGGCTGAGCTCACACACGTGCCGCGTCCCGCGCGCAGCGCAGCGACGCGGGTCGCACCATGACGCTGTATAAGGATGCCGCTGTCGGGAGCCAGGCGGCTGCAGACAACGCTCGCGTCGGTGGGAGGTTTCTGTCCAGCTTGCATTTGTGGGGGAGCGCGTTGGAGACGGAGGGTGGCTTCAGGGTTGGAATTGGACAGGACTTCGCCCCTTCTTCCTCCCCCTGGCGAAGCACGGCGGGGCTGGCGCTCGGTTTCCTTGGTGGCTGAGGGACTGAGGCAGGGGCAAGAGGTACCTAGGATCTGGCCCCGTAACTGGCAGCTCTTCCATTGACGCCCGAGGGGAGGCCGGCTGAGCCCCCTGTGCGGGCTCTGCGTGCCCATAGCACCGGAGCCAGAGACGCTCGTTTGCTTGCTTTCCGAGACAAATGGCAAAACCCTGTTTTGCAACACTTGTCGTGGTTGCATTTTGCAGAAAAACACCGGTGAAGCTCAGGCAACGTTAAAATGCTGTTTAAACGCACTTCACTGTCTGCACAAAGAGCAGCTGCGCGGCTGTTTCTAGAGCTCGTCCTCTCTTCTGCGCTTGGGCCAGCATTTATCGCAGACAAAAAGAAGTGCTACGGCAGTGAGACGCTCACATCACCATTGCTGCGCACGGGGTGCCCCTGTTCTAAAGCACAAAAGAAATGAACTATTCAGCATCCCACAGACCAGCTGGTTCTCATAGACATTATTTGTCCATCATCAATTAACATCATTGATGTTAATCAATAAGGAGAGGCTGAAAGAGCTGGGCCTATTTAGTCCAGGGAATGATTGAGAAGAATGATTAGGAGCCTTCAACTACCTGCAGGGGAGTTTCAAGGGGATGGAGCTGGGCTGTGGTGGCAGGTGACAGAACAAGGAGCAATGGCCTTAAGTTGCAGCAAGGGAATTTTAGGTTGGATATTAAGAAGAATTTTCTCACCAGGAGGGCAGTAAAACACTGGAACAGGCTACCCAGAGAGGTGGTGCAATCTCCACCCTTGGAAGTTGTTCAGACCTGGCTAGACAAAGCTTTGGCTGGGATGATCTATTTGGGAATGGTCCTGCTTTGAGCAGAGGGTCGGGTCAGCATTTCTTAACCCATGGGTCATGACCCAAAAGTAGGTCGCAAGAATATATGAAAGGGTCATGAACAAACTTTAAAAATAGTTCCTGTTTAAAGGAGAAAAATGGGGGAAACTGGCTGCTTCCCCCCACTGGGGCCTAGGGGCAGGGAGAAGCAGGTCAGGAATGAGGGGCACTGGGTCTGAACTGGCCATTGGCTTTTACAGATGGGTCCTGGTACAAAAAAACCCAGAACCACTGGACTAGATGACCTCCCTTCCAACCCTTACTTTCTATGATTCAATAACTAAACACGGATAAATGGAATGTTGTCATCACCTTTCAACACTCAACATTTCTCTCAATTAAATAAACATACTGAAGTGCAAAGAAAAAAAATCTACCAACTGAATTTATTGAAACTTTTTTGTCTTACCCTTACCGTGAATTTCCAGGCTTTACAGATTGAGATTATTTCCAACTAAAGTGGTTGCAAAGTTAAACTGTTTGTGACAAAGATGTTAGAGGAAGGAATGTGCTTTAGGAATCCACAATAGCAGGTTGGCAGCCTACAGCCCATGGAGCTGTTTCATGCAGCCCTCGGACCTGGGGCTTCTGTTCATTCAGCAACATTCAAGGGAGTAACAATTCAGCAGCATGGGGAGGGGGTGTTTTACATGGCAGTCACTCTCCCCATGCCTTGAGAAAAAGGGAACTTGGTCCTAATGCCCACCTTCTCACCTAACTGGGTGATGCTTTAAAGCAGGAAT